TGGGAATGGTAGTTTGTTCAGGGTGCTGGGAACTGTAGCTCAGCGAGGGAGTAAACTACAGTTCCCAGAATTCTTTTTTTTCGGGGGGTGAGGGTGCTATGAGAAGATGCTGAGGTCAGGTCCTGCCCACCTATCACAGGTGGCTGTTGGGGGTGAGGACACAGAACAATCTGTCCTCCCTGGCAGAAAAGGTTTCTTACTTCTGGTAAAGGAAGACAACAGCAGAAGCAACAGTTATTACCACAGTTATTACCATACTCTGAGGTCCAGTTCCGAGGGCCTTCTGGCGGTTCCCTCACTGTGAGAAGCGAGGTTACAGGGAACCAGGCAGAGGGCCTTCTCGGTAGTGGCGCCCGCCCTGTGGAATGCCCTCCCTTCAGATGTCAAGGAAATAAACAACTGACTTTTGGGAGACATCAGAAGGCAGCCCTGTTTAGGGAAGTTCGGTCCCTGCTCCTGCCAACCTAGCAGTTCAAAAGCACATCAAAGTGCAAGTAGATAAATAGGTACCGCCCCAGTGGGAAGGTAAATGGCGTTTCCACACGCTGCTCTGGTTTGCCAGAAGCGGGTTAGTCATGCTGGCCACATGACCCGGAAAAACTGTCTGCAGACAAATGTCGGCTCCCTCAGCTTATAGAGCAAGATGAGCGCGCAACCCCAGAGTCGTCCGCGACTGGACTTAATGGTCAAGGGTCCCTTTACCTTTACTTGCCTCCTACGTCACTTTGCCAGTTTTAAGACATCAGCTGCACGATCCTATGCATGTCAACTCAGAATTAAACCCGACTAAGTTCAATGGGTGACTCTCAGATGTATAGAGAATGGCTGCCCAAGACAGTTTAAAAGGTTGCATACGCCATTGAAAGCTGCTAAACTGAGATCTATGTAGAAGCATTCCTTAGGGTGAATGTGTAAAGGGAAACAACGGGGAAAGTCATAGCTGGTTTCAATGGTGACAGCGTGGAGTTATGTTATGTTATTTGGAGTTACGTAGCCACATCAGATTTGCATGCAGAAGGTTCCAGGCTCAGTTCCCAGAATGTCCCCCAATTAAAAACTTTGGAGAGCTGCTGCCAACTGTCTGACTGAGTATAAGCCAGCTTCTTTTATTCCCACAATATTCAAAGGGCAATGTAATTAAAATATACAATAAACAAACAAACCCTTATAAGAAAAAACCCCTGCTCCTTTCCCCTTATAGGGGTGTCCAAGAGCCCGTATAGAGTCCTTAAGTAGGTTCTCTATCGGAAGGAGAAAATAACAGAGGCCAACCAGAGAACACTGAGAAGCAAAGCAGCTAGTATCTGCTAGTACTGTATTTTAGTGTATCTTTCATCTTTGTTGGAAGCCGCCCAGAGTGGCTGGGGAAACCCAGCCAGATGGGCAGGGTACAAATAATAAATTATTAGTAGTAGTAGTAGTAGTAAGCCTGATCTTTATTAAACTGTTGCAACAGGATTCCCCACTCACCCCATGCAGGGAGGAAGAAGAGGAAACCAGAACAACTGTGTGCAAGCCCTTAATCAGTAGAACCTCTACAGTGGTACCTCGGGTTACATATGCTTCAGGTTACAGACTCCGCTAACACAGAAAGTTCGGGTTAAGAACTTTGCTTCAGGATGAGAACAGAAATCGTGCTCCGGTGGTGCAGCAGCAGCGGGAGGCCCCATTAGCTAAAGTGGTGCTTCAGGTTAAGAACAGTTTCAGGTTAAGAACGAACCTCCGGAACGAATTAAGTACTTAACCCGAGGTACCACTGTACTTACAACCGCCTCCACTCGCGGACGTTCCAGGTTGCGGCCAGGAAGTAACCCGGAAGTAACCCGGAAGTAACCGGCGAGTTTTCCGCCATTTGCGCATGCACAGGAGCGGTGACTGCCTTCACGCATGTGCAGAAGCGGGCAATTGCCACCCGCACCTGCCAACAACGGCGCCTCTCCCAGCACCCATTTCTCCATAAGGACGGGCCTCCGGAACGGATTATGGTCGTGAGCAGAGGTTCCACTGTAGTCTTTTGAAATTGCCCACCCTGTAGTCCAAGACCACCCCCCAAAACATCATACATACATCACAGAAGGAGGCGGTCTCCAACAGAAACATATCACAGGAGAGGTCTACCACAGGAATTCTATCTGCCAGGAAACCTGACAATGGTCACTGATTGCTCTACCTGGGCAGCCTGGCCATTCTTTTGTGATGGTAAATACTCAGTTCCTGAATCCAGGTCACAGGCTCACCCTATTCATGCACAAAGATGCCCTTAAGACAGGATTTCTGAGCAAACGGACAACAGGGAGGCTTTCCCATTTCCTTCCTCACTGCAGAGAATATTTGAGGTGGCTGGAAGAGTCAAAATGGCTTCAGGATTGCTCTCCTGTACTATGTCAGAAACGTGGTTTATATACTTATGTATGTGTTTGTCTTGTAAAGTTATGAATATGACTTTTATTTATGAGACCTTAGAATTCCTATAACAAGGTATGGCTCAAAATATAACACCAGGAGCAGCTAAAAGGCTTTGCATATTATTTGCACTGTGATGGAAGGAAAAGGGAAACAGCCCTTCTTAATTTCCAATTGGCATATAGAACATTCATTATCCAAGTAGCCACTAGATGGCAGTCATGCACCACACAGTAATATTAATAAACCAGGCGGCTGTATCTTTTTGAGGGTGCCATCAAAAGAAATAAAAACATGAAGTGTGCATTTGAGACTGAAGTCTTAGACATACTTGCCTGGGAGTAAGTCCCCTTCGGAGGTAAGGCTCAGCAGTAACTATATAGGATTACAGAAGACATATACAGGATTGCACTGTCAAACACAAACACAAGGGACTCTTTTGCAGTCCACGTCTGTGGATTGATTGATTGTTATTCTTGTTCAGATATTTAAATCTCTTAGTTGAGAGGTCGGTTTGGTATTGTCGTAAGAGAGTCAGGGTCAGAGAGGGGAATAAAGGAAAATGACCCTACCAATATCAGAATTATAGTGTTCTACCTTAAAAACCCCACAAGAAAATGAACTGTGCCTTGGAGAAATGCGTCGTTTGAGAATAAATCATTTTGCTGTGTCTTCTGTGTCCTTTTACCTTTGCTATCACTGAATGTATAATAATGCATGCTGTGTCTTTTCAGATCGTTGAATGTATCGTTTTGCTGTGTCTTTTTTACCTTTGCTATCACTGAAATGTATAAGAATGTATCTGAACGTATCCTTACAGAAATGTATCTCTTTTCCCCCATGAATGTACCTCTACTGAAATGTAATGCTGCACTAGGCTGTATTTTCTGAATGTATCCAAACTGTAGCTGCCAAAACTCTCTCCACCACACTGCCATCTACTGGGTCTGCAAATAATGCCATGAATACACACAAATACCGGCTCAAATAAATTAGTTTTATTTTCCAATATGTATACAAACATCAGACTATCACACCCAAATTGATAGCAATGCAGAGCGGGAATCTCACATTAACATTGGAGCCATTTCCCAACATCCAGCCTCACGATCTGCATGCTGATTATCAGCAGTTGCGGAGGTATTTTCCTGTAGATAAAGGGAAAAGCCATTTAAGCAGATCCAGAATTAAATGGGATGAAGCTCACCCCATATTATCCCAGCCCTTCAGCAAACTGACACCTTCCGAAAGTCTTTCAACATCATACTTATGTTAGTCCCCTCTTCATGCCATTCATGTCGCTTCCCACCACCTCCGCTGTTATTGATCTGTATTGGAAACCAAATGGTATAAGAGTCAAGGCAGCTCTTTTGTCCGGGGTCTCACTCCCTTTTATTACATGAGCAGGGACCCTGTTGCAACAGTTTGATTTTTTCCTCTGTTCTTTCAATAAAGATCAGACTTTGCTTTTTCTCAAGTCCTGGTGTGGTCTCTGTCTATTCCCGACCGGTACGCCGCCCTCCTTCCGAGGTCCCGGTACTCCTTCTGAGGCAAGGACCCCCTCAGGAAGGCATTTATTTATTTATTTATTTCATTTTCTGGTTAAACTTTTTATTAGGGGACAGGTCCATCCCGCCCCCGCCCCCAAAAGTGGCCTGTTTTGCTTTTGGAGCAGCAATTTTAAGAGGAAACATTTTTGGGGACTATAAAGTTAAACTCTTCTTAAGCAGCGCTATAGCATGGACGGAAGACTTTCCACAGTGGCGATGCTTCTAAAAGAAATCAGAACTATTCCTGCTTGCTGGGTTCAAGGTGATTGACACATAAGCTGCCTCGCACTCAGGGCCGAAGGGGCGCAGCTTTATACATATTAGCTTTTGTTAAACTGTATGTCATAAATAGGGACGCGGGGGGCACTGTGGGTTAAACCACAGAGCCTAGGACTTGCCAAACAGAAGGTCGGCGGTTCGAATCCCCACGACGGGTGAGCTCCCGTTGCTCGGTCCCTGCTCCTGCCAACCTAGCAGTTTGAAAGCACGTCAAAGTGCAAGTAGATAAATAGGTACCGCTCCGACGGGATGGTAAACGGTGTTTCTGTGTGCTGCTCTGGTTCGCCAGAAGCGGCTTAGTCATGCTGGCCACAGGACCCGGAAGCTGTACGCCGGCTCCCTCAGCCAATAAAGCAAGACGAGCGCCGCAACCCCAGAGTCGGTCACAACTGGACCTAATGGTCAGGGGTCCCTTTACCTTTACCTATGTCATAAATGCCTGGTGAGATTCTTATTTCATATGTTGCAAGGATTTTACCATTTCCAAAGTAATTCATAGACTGGAATGGTCCCCATCCCAAATTTTTTTTCATTGCAATTGCTTTTCTTTCTTTCTTTTCTATAGAAGACACCCTTTTTTAAACAAACAAATAAATAGAAGCTCGCAACTGCTTTTGCTGCGTGTGCAAATAAGTTAGCCTTGCCTAGGCTGCAAAACAGGCCGGTTCCTTCCCTTCCTTTCCATTCATCCGCCATCCATTCATTCCAAGGAGCCCGGCTTCGCTTAACGCGCATGCGCAACAGCAGCAGCAGCAGCAGCCACGAGTCGGAACCTGCGCGCCGAAACTTCGGCCGGAGCGGCGCCGGCGTGATGACGTAGACGCCGCGCGTTCCGCGCGTGCGGTTTCCACGGCAACGACCGCCGCGGCATTACCTCGCCTCAGGCATGGAGGGCGGCAGGATGGCGAATCCCTATAGCCGAGTGGTGAGGGAGGTGCGGGGACCCAAGCCGTTTTCCTACGCCATAGTAAGTCCTTTGAGCTTTGAGGGGGGCATTGGGGAGCGCGGAGGGGACTGGTTTCCTTATATAGGGAGGGTTATATCACCCCCCCCAAAAAATAAACGCTGTTTGTCTAAGGGCACAAGGAACTAGTCCTCAATGAGGCCCGTCAGCGCAACGCTTTGCTATCGGGTGTAAGCCCCGCTGTGCGAGATGTGGCTTGCTTTAGGTTAATAGATACTAGTTTATGTATTGTTTGTTGTGGTTTTATTCATTCCATTTATCATTTTCATGAGATTTACGCACCGTTTGATTGTAAAGAGCTGGGTGGGAAGTGGGGTGGGGTGAACACCCTTCATCAAAGCGGTTTACCAAATATTTATATATAGGGAGAGAGAGAGAATGTGTATATATGTATGTGTGTGTGTGTGTGAGAGAGAGTATATCTACGAAAGCATATATATATATATATATACACAGTCATACCCCATGTTACATTTGCTTCATGTTACGTTTTTTCAGGTTGCGTCCCACGGCGACCAGGAAGTACTGGAAAGGGTTACTTCCGGGTTTCGTCGCTCACGCATGCGTAGAAGCGCTAAATCGCGCTCTGTGCATGCGCACAAGCGCCAAATCGTGCCGCGCACCTGTGCAGATACGACACTTCATTTTATTTGTTTTTTTGAAAAGTTTTTATTATTAAAATAATTCAGCATTAATACACACATATTGTGAATATACAAGCATACAAACATACATTTCATACAGTCCTTAAAATGTTCAAACATACCTACACTCAATCCCACTTCAGGTTGCGGGCTTTTCATGTTGCGAACGGGCCTCCGGAACGGATCCTGTTTGCAACCTGAGGTACCACTCTCTCTCTCTCAAGCAATGAGATTGTCACCTATTTTTTCCTTTTACAGCCCTGAATTCAAAACACGAGGGAAGCTGAAAGCAAAGATATAGAATAGAGTTAGAATAGAGCAAATTAAAGCTCATATCACTGTCCCTAAACCCCTGAGTAGGCTCATCTGAATAGGAACGGTCTTCAGCAGGCGCCAAAAAGAATGCAGTGAAGGCTCCTGCTTGATATCAATAGGCAGGGAGTTCCAAAGTAGTGTTTAAAAATTACTGCCCTGTGATCCTCAGATGAAGGGTGACATGATAAACAAATACATAAGTTTATTTGGCTTTTCGTTGTCTGTGTATATTGTGGTTAAAGTGGCCTTGAGAGTTTGCTGCTTTTAGGTGTTTTTTTAAATTTTAATAATTATGATAATAGGATTGCAGCAGCTTCTCTTTTCTGACATCGGCTTGTTGCTTCAGACCACTTTCTCACGTTCAGAGATCTGGGCTGCAGTACACCAGGGATAGGCACAGTGCTCATAATCAGTGCCGTCATTTTATTTGTATGAGGTGCATCCTTCCCCATCTTTATTAACTTTCAGGAGGACTTTGAAGGCATTCCTGTTTACCCAGGCATTTGGTGGCTGAAATTCTTGGCAACCCTGAGATCTTTGGATGAAATAATGTTTTTATATGTAATTTCTTTAAAACAGCATCCACTTCGTACAGAGGAAGTGTGCTCCACTTCCCTTCGTCCCCTTGATAAATCTAAATCCAATTCCCGTTACTAAAGACATACTTCCTCTTACAGAGGGCCAAGTTTCCCAAACCGAATGATGCCATGAAGCAAATCCTCCTCTGGAGGGAGCAAGAGAAACTGCGCCATGCGGCCGCGATGTACGCAAAGTCCCATCTCCTTGGCCGCCAGATCATCGAAAGGGAGGATCGGAATGAGCGAAAACAGTTCCACCGGATCGTGCAGAAGCGGGTTGATGTTGAAATGCAGGCATACCTGGCAGGACAAGAGGAGAGGAAAGAAAGGTAAGCAGGCCAGTCGAGCAAGCTGGTGATTCAATCTTGGGTTTCTGCCTTTAATTAGAGGAGGGCATACAAAGGTAAAATTTGCATTCATTTCCTGCTCACTTTTGCCTCTTGGTTCTTCTGCATGTGGGCCCTGGAAGGCTGCCCACGTGGGAATACTGCCCTCAGGCTGAAAAAATGGGTTCCCACTGCTGCTTTAATGCTACCAAACTGGTCCTTCGGGGGGGGGGGGACACAAAATAAACACGAAAGGTTTCATTTTATTACTGTTTAAGTTGATGTGCCTTACAGAAAGCCACAGCAAGTAAAACAGGTCTCTTGCTCGCAAGAAGTGTACAGTCTCACAATAGTGAAAGGTCTTTGTTCATCGGTAGGACACCTGCTCTGCATGCAGAAGGTCTCAGGTTCAATCCCCAGCATCCAAAAGGGTCAGGAACATGAGAGCTGCTGCCCCTGGTATAGTCTGGCCTGGTATAAGTTGGATACCTGTGTTCCTATGTGTACTTGCGCTTTGTTTCTATGGAGAATGGGGCATACATTTAAAGCACATTCAGTACCTATTTAGGACACATAGCTTCCCCGAAAGAATCCTCAGAACAGTAGTTTACCTCTCACAGAACTATAATTCCCAGCACCCTTAACAAGCTACAGTTCCCATGATTCTTTGGGGGAAACTGTGTGCTTTAAATGTGTAGGGTGGGCATGATCTGAGATCAGAGGGGCCCAAGCGCAAATACCGACTCAGCCATGAAGGGTGCTTGTCTGGTCTTGGATCAGTTGCTTTCCCTCAGCCTTACCTACTTCACAGAGTTGTTGTGAGGTCAAAGTGGGAAAGACTAATGCATGTTTCTGTAAATAAGTGAAATAAGTAAGTGATTACACCAACGTTTTCACTCAAGAGGTGAGTATTGAGGGTGGATTTAATGGAAATGAGCAAAATGAACTTTGTGCTCCCTGATGGATACTTAAAGAATAGATGCTGCCCGCCTTTACCACTCCAGACGCTAAATTGAGATTTTGGCCATCCCTGGAATTGAGCTAATCAAGCAAGCCTTACTTGGTTTGACATCACAACTCTGCTCCTGTTTTTGAAATGGAGGGACCAAGACCCTGGTCTGCAGAGTACATGATAAGGAATTCTCTTCCACACAGTAGACAGATCAGGCCTTTAGTACTATTCTTTTATCTCATTAAATTTATACACTTACAAGGCCTCACTCCTGTCAGCAATGGAGCTGCAGAATTGTGCACTAACTTCAGCTTCTGGATCAAGTGCAAGGGAAGCCCCACCCAGAGCATGTTGCAGTAACCCAGTCTTGAAGTAACCAGTGCTTGAATTACAGTGGCAAGGCTTCTCCAGGTTCAGGAATATGGCAACTTGCCCCCAAACCCCTAATGACTGCTGCAGATGCCTTCATATAGATACTAAACAGAATTCTAGAGATGGGGACACTCTTTCCCTCTGATTCAGAGCATTCTTTCTTCCACGTTCTGTAAAAAAGCCACGTTGACAGTGATTTGATTTTTAATACACCCTTCCCAGGCTTCGGGATCTCCTGGAAGCTGAGGAAAAGTGTTACCTAGCTGCAATAGAATCGCTGGGAGAAACTATGGAAGACAGGCGAGTGAACATGAGAGCAAAGCAAAATTGCTGAGAGATAAGAGGGAAGAAGCTCGGAGGAAACTTGTGGCGGAAAAAAGGGATCAACAGTTCAGGTAAGTTGGTCATAAACAGGGGCGGCGCAGGCAGGAGGAATGGGGAGGGGGAAGGCAACTTCTCAGTACATGAATTTGTTTTCTTTTAGACCTGTGGGCCCATTTGGACTTTTCAGTGAGTGCTGTGGGCACTATGGCCTCTGGTCACTTTCCTCCCCCTCTTATCTGGGCAATATCATCCCTGCTGAAAATGAGTGTGTGTGCATTCATACACATACACAGCCTTTCCAAGGGATCTGGTAAAAGCTAGAGCCAGTAAAATCAATTTGAGCCTTGAAAAGCACATGGAACTGAAAGAGGAAATAAGCCACACTGGTGATCCTTGGATGAAGGCTGACGTATAAATTTAATGCATAAAATAAATATAATAATAATAATAATTTATTTATACCCCCCCCCATCTGGCTGGGCTTCCCCAGCCACTCTGGCCGACTTCCAACAAAATATTAAAATACAGTAGCTCATCAAACATTAAAAGCTTCCCTAAACAGGGCTGCCTTCAGATGTCTTCTAAAAGTCTGGTAGTTGTTCTTCTCTTTGACATCTGGTGGAAGGGCGTTCCACAGGGCGGGATGCCACTACCGAGAAGGCCCTCTGCCTGGTTCCCTGCAACTTGGCTTCTTGCAGTGAGGGAACCGCCAGAAGGCCCTTGGCGCTGGACCTCAGTGTCCAGGTAGAACGATGGGGGTGGAGACGCTCCTTCAGATATACAAGGAAGAGCATCCCCCTTTCATCTTCCTCCTTCAGATCCATGTACTTTTCAAAGGAGAAAAAGGTAATTACTCTTACGTTGTCATGGCCACAAGGAGCAATGGGTAGGGTTGCTCCGTTGCTTTGGGGGCTCCAGGGAGGACCTCAGGAGCGCCACTGTATGAGCACCATGGTGGCAAACCCTGATTTAGAGTGTTAAGTGTGGCGGAATGAGAAGTCATAACCCAACAGTTGAAGACCATTGGATTAATCTTCTAGCAAAACTAGTTAAAGCCTGGAGCCCTGCTTTTGTGTTCAGAATAGTCCACTGTTTGGTCCTAAACCAATGAACTGTTTTGATTACCAAACCTGCACTTCCTGAACATTTATGCAGGCTATCATTTGAAATTCATCCTTCAACAAATTTTGCTGGGCAGTTCTGCAACCCAAAAATGTGTACAAAAACATGTGATAGGGGGAAGTGTGAACAAAAATGTGTATATTAGTGAAGAAAATGTACAAAAATACATTATATTAGGGGCTATCACTTGCAAAAGTCTGTCTGTTATGAGAAATGCAGACAAAGGTGTGGCCAGATTTTCATGACTTTTTCTTTTAAAAAAGCTTGCAGACTGATGTAATGGCGTAAACTGAACTTAAGACTGGAAAAATGAGAAACTGAGAGAAATCAAAACTGACAGCTTTGTGCATCCCTCATGATGAGAGGCTGCCAGTCATACTTTTTGCAGCTCTGAACATGGTTTGTTTGGGTGGCAAGAGAGAAATATTGTTTTACGGGTCTCTTTAATATATCACGTGGAAATGTTTTTGTATCTTCTCTTCTTTTTACAACAGTTTTTCTCCTCTCTCTCCCCTGCTGTGACTTGTATAGAAATTGTAGTTTATTGCCTCGCCATTTGAGCTTTGGAAGCATTTATTATTTATTTACATGTGTATATTAAAGATGTTTTGGATGGCTCGAAAGTGGCCATATAGGCATATCATTCCCTCTATTCTGTCATAACGTTTGCCACTTCTTGCAAAGGAAAGAGTGTAGTCACACGTGATTCTGCCTTGCTCCCGTAAAAATGGATAAATGCTGGTAAGGGGCACCAATTTGGCATCTGACTTCCGTAAGCAACATTAAAATTTCACAGCTCTTGACAGTAGAGAAGCTTAGGACAGCAAAGTGAAATAGTTGAACAACCATCTGTGAGAGCAGATGTGTATGGTGGCTGTAAAAGCTGCTTTGGATGACTTATTTTGGTCAGATCAAACAGTTATGGAGCTATTTTGTATTATGAATTACTGCCTTGGCTAACACTTTGATTTAACTCCTACTTTTTGAAATGTCTGTATCACTTTTCATGCAGCAGAAGCTTTATCACTGCCACCCCATTGCCCTGCTCCTCCCTGATCTCTTCCAGATGTTCTCTTTGACCGTTTAAACCAGTGATCTGCTAGCCATAGATCTTGTTTCTCTCTCTAAATCAAGAGTCAAGAACTCTGGCTCTCCAGATGTGGCAAACACTTAACAACCATCAAGTGGTTGCATGTACTAACTATGCATGCCAAAGTCTCAGATCCCTTTTGTTCTCCTGTTCCCCAAACCAGCCTATTTACCAGCTGCTCCCCCAGTTGCCAACATGACACTTGCTCAATACATAGCTGTCAACTTTCAGATTTGAAAATAAGGGATCAGCAGCCTCACCTGTCTATGGGATATCTAACAATCCGGAATAGCAACGGGAAGCAGCAGGAAACGGCGCTGGAATAAGGGAATTTCCCGCAAAAAAAGGGAAGGTTGACAGCTATGGCTCAGTAGTGCTCCTGTGCTGCTATTGCTCCTTTGAAAGAGAGAACTTCTGATAGACTGTGCCCTTCGTTTCCAGGAGGCATTCCTTTTTGTACAATATATCCATTCTCAATGCCAATAAGCATGTCACCTTTATGTTGCTTTATTATGCCTTTTTTTAGCGTATCCAGCCGATCAGCAGTGAATTGTTATTTGCAGAGGCAGCGAAATGGCTGCACCTTCAAATTACACTTGGATGGGCAGCGGGCACTTAATAGCACTCCCCTGTCCCACCCTCCCCAGAAAGCAGGAAGATTTGTCACAGTGTTGACAAAGATCTGCTCCAGCTGCGTTATGTGATATGACGATTAGTTTGCAATGATATGGAGAAGAACCCGTGGAGTTTCTGGGTACAGAAAAGTCAGTGAGGGAGTTCTTCTTGTCCGGTACAAGTGCCAGGGTTTGGGGCCCTTAGGCAAAATGCTTTCGGTGGCACCCCTCCCTGAGTGTGCCTCTCTGCTAAGTTGGCAGAATCTGACAGGTCAAGCGCTGAAGTTGCTTAACAGATAAACCTCTTGGACATCATTACCTAGAAAATGGAGGGGCATGGGCAGCATCAGGGATTGGCATTATTGGGCAACTGCCAAGGCCCACATTTTAAGAGGGGTCCCACCGCTGTTATTTTTTATATTCGAAAACACATTTGATCATCAAATAAGTATTCAAATACATGCCATAAAACTACATACTTATGCATTTTGGCAATTTCTTTGGGCCGAGAACTGTATTTGCAGAATTTGGAGAAGTGTCAAATCCAGAGGATAATTACATTGGGCTGGTTCTTGTGGATCAGGTCAGTTCATATTGGAATCTGCAGAACTCTAATTCATCAGGCATCCCTAAATATCGCTAGCTAAGCCTTTGGGCTATGTAGCCTTCCATCTACCGCACAGCTATGAACCAACAGAGCTAGCATTTTTGCCTTTGTTTTGTGCCTAGACATGCATTTTTTAGCTGTAACGTGAATCAGCATTATTGAAGAAGGGCTGCAACGCAGAGGTGGAGCCTCTTGCTTTGCATGCAGAAGGTCCCAGGTCCAATCCCCAGCATCTCCCAGTCAGGGCTGGTCAAAAATTTTGCTTTGAAACCCCACAGAGCCATTGCCTGTTAGTGTAAACAGTACTGAACCGGGTGATCCTGTGGCCTGACTCTGTATAAGGCAGCTTTCTGTGTTCCTGATGGCACAGTACTGTGTCCATGTGCCTCTTCAGAAACATGTTTCCGTTCCTCCTTTTCTCTCGTGCTCAGAGTAACTTGTGAGGACGCACGGACACTGTGGAGCAAGAAGCATCTGATGGAGATATGTGAGGACCGGCTGGCCCAGCTGGCCCTGAAGGAGGAACTCAAGAAGCAACGAGCAAGGGAGGAGGCGGCCTTTGCGGCTCTTTGGGAAGAGGACAGGCTGGCCAAGGAGAAGCGAGCAGCGGAGGACGAACGGAAGAGAACAAGGTGGACTGACGGCCAGAAAAACCTCCTTGAAGCTCAGCAAACTGTGGCGGACGCTCAGCGGCAGGAGGCGAGGCGTCTGAAGGAAGAAGAGGCGAAGCTGATGGTAACGTAGCTGGTTTAAGAGCGTAAGATGAATCTGCTGGGTCCAAGACGGCAGCCATTGCTACAACTTCGTAGCGTTACGATTCTCCCAGTCTAGCCCCCTCGTTTTGTTGGGCATCATTAAAGCGGGAGGTGTGAGTTAACTGTCTCTCTTGCCACTAATTGTAGGAAGAAGAACGTCAGCTGATGAAACTGGAGAACGAACGGGCCGAGATTGAGCGGCAGCGGAAGCTGAGGGAGTGCAGGGACATGTTGCTGGATTCCATGGAGGAGAAGAGGAGGCGTCTCCACGAAGAGCAGCAAGAAGAGCTGGCTTTAGATATGAAGATCCTGGATCACATCATGAAAGAATCCCAGGAGGATACAGAGAGCCAAAAGAGAAGGAAAGTAAGGCTAGTATTTAATTCAGGTTTTGAGCTAAAGGCAGCAGATTCCATGTTTCTGGCTTCTTTGCCATTGCTGACTGTCAGATGGCAATGGTGGTTGCTCATGAGTAACCAGTCAAGACTCCCACCTGTCTTTTACAGGTTTTATTTGGGTGCAAAACTATTTACAGTGCAGTACCACGAGTTCATGTCTGCCTCAGTCGCTAGCAGAATCCGGGAGTGGCTGTTTCTGGGTCCTCCCCCAACATAATAGCTTAGTCACCCCCAGCCTTTTCCTTCCTTCTTTGCGTTTTACACCTCTGCGCAGGGTGGGCGACGGAAGAGGCGTGCTTCCCTCCTGGCCGGCTTGACCAGGAGTGGTGCTGAGACTCCCAGCAGCATCCTCTGGTCCCTTCCCCTCTTCCCCACTGGAGGTGTGGCTTTCCCCACCACAGGAAGAGGAACTGCTTCGCAAGATTTTCGGAGGTTCCCTGTAAGCCAACTCCCCCTCAGCTTCCCTTCCCTGTTCCAATGGCAGTCCCCTGACACCGACCTTTTCACTTGGGAGCCCACAACAGACTTCCAAGGAAGCCCTGGGCTCATGATAAAAAAAGGATCAAGCCTTGTTTGAGGATTTATCACAGTGGAGAGGAACCTCCAGCCCATGGGCCTAATCTGGCCTGCCCAGTCCAACCTGCCCAACCTCTCAGGGACCCCTACCTCCCTGCCAGTCCCCCAGTGTAATTGTGTGGCAATCAGAGGTCAGCCCTTAAAAGAGCAGGCAGAGAGATCCTACGTCTCCAGCCTTAGTACTAAGCACCACAGCAAGAAGTCCTCTGCTGGTGCTTATAGATTCAAAGGCAGCATTCCTACTCAGCGAGTGCTGGGATGGGAGCGGGGAAGAAAGGCTGCCTTTTACTCTTATCTCAGATCTTGGTGCAAAGACTGGGAAAGGAAATCCCTATTCCTGCTCTGTAGGCAGGGGGATCTTTCTAGCCACCCCCACCCCCATGCTAGAGTAGAGGGGGCTGGAAATGCTGTTGTGTGTGCCTGCATGTGTGCATGTGTTTGTTAGAGAGAGTGTTTTTTACCTGCATGTCTGGTGTGTGCGCGCACTTGTGACAATGGGTGCAGAACAGAGGTAGGAGCTGAAAATGTGGTTCTTAATTTGCACCACCAACGAGCAAGAGGTGGTGACCAAAGAAGAGGCTATAATCTGTTTGAAACGATTTCTTTCAAATACATCCTCTTCAGAAAACCAGTGAATGCATTTCTGTTTAAAAAAGATAGAGGCATTATTACCACCACAAACATTACAATTTATTACCCACCCTTCAGGCTTAAGGTCCCAGGGCGAGTTAGAGCAATTAAAACACAACTTTAACAGTAAAATACAACATTAAAAGGTAAAGGTAAAGGTACCCCTGCCTGTACGGGCCAGTCTTGCCAGACTCTAGGGTTGTGCGCCCATCTCACTCAAGAGGCCGGGGGCCAGCGCTGTCCGGAGACACTTCCGGGTCACGTGGCCAGCGTGACAAAGCTGCATCTGGCGAGCCAGAGCCGCACACGGAAACGCCGTTTACCTCCCCGCTAGTAAGCGGTCCCTATTTATCTACTTGCACCCAGGGGTGCTTTCAAACTGCTAGGTTGGCAGGCGCTGGGACCGAGCGACGGGAGCGCACCCCGCCGCGGGGATTCGAACTGCCGACCTTTCGATTGGCAAGCCCTAGGTGCTGAGGCTTTTACCCACAGCGCCACCCGCGTCCCTCTAAAAATACAACATTATGCAATATTAAAAACAGTTTAAAGCAATCTATAATTACAAAGATAAGGTGGGTCCTGAGAATATACATCCGATTCTCAAGGGCCAAAAATCAGAGGAAAGAGAAATTAACTGCATGTTACACAGGAATAAGACTTGGGGAATGGAGAAAAAAGGAACAGGTACGTGCAAATAGCAATTGCATGGAAAACAAAGCATGCATGTTTATTTACTTTTTGTCTCTGCTCACCATTGGAATGTTCCCCCACAACCCCCAACGGTTGGCAAAGTTTGAATCTAGCCCATAGGCTCCCAGTGCTGAGTTAGCATCTTGATTTTCAACTCCATGAGTTCTCGAAGCTGAGAACAATATTTAAAATTAAACCATTTGCATTATACAGCCCAACCAATAGTGAAATCTGAACCATCAGCATCATATTAGTAGCAGGGAGAATAAAAGAAACCCAGCCAGACTCCATCACGCTTGGCGGTTCACAGCTTGCCTAAAAAGAAAAGCTGTAATGGCAGATCACCTAAATAGGCAAAGTTCTCAGATAACACCGAATGTCGAGCGAGGGAAGGACTTCTCCAGAATTAGCAAACTGTGCATTATCCCTTACAATGTAGAAGTGCTGCATAAAGTCATACGTTAAAGTCAGGAGTGATGAAATGTTTTCATTGGTAATGTAATCAACCCACTGTTTTTTTTTTTCTTTCCCCCCCTCTTATTTTTCTATCCTATCATTTACTGCCAGTCCGTTTCATTAGGTCACACTGAGATCTGGTATTAAGCGAGCAGGCAAAAGATTTATTTCAATCTCCAGGTAGGGCTAGGAAAAACTGCCTGTCTGAAACTCTGGAGAGCTGCTGCCAGTCAGTGTAGACAATACTGAGGTAAAAGGACCAATGGTCCAACTTGCCTCAAGACAGCTTTTTATGTTCTTCATTTTCATTTGGGGAAGGCTAAAGAGACGTTGGTGATGCTGTGGGTTAAACCAGAGAGCCTAGGGTTTGCCAATCAGAAGGTCGGCGTTTTGAATCCCCACAACGGGGTCAGCTCCCGTTGCTCGGTCTCTGTTCCTGCCCACCTTAGCAGTTCGAAAGCATGTCAAAGTGCAAGTAGATAAAGAGATACCGCTACAGCGGGAAGGTAAACGGCGTTTCCGTGGGCTGCTCTGGTTCGCCAGAAGCAGCTTAGTCATGCTGGCCACATGACCCGGAAGCTGTCTGCGGACAAACGCCGGCTCCCTTGGCCTATAGAGCGAGATGAGCACGCAACCCCAGAGTCGTCCGCGACTGGACCTAACGGTCAGGGGTCCCTTTACCTTTAAGGAGATGATGAGAACTTAGTTTTTGAAGCTTGTTCTCAATGGCCATATTATCAATGGTGTATAAAGCTGCAAAATCACCATGACTCCCTTTTTATTTATTGTTTTCTGCAACTTTTTCCTCGTCTCTTTTCTGCAGAAAGAGCTCTTGAAAGAGCAGCAGATGTTTAAGGCCTACCTGGCTCAGCAGAGGGAGGACGAGCAGCGCCAGGAAAAAGAGCTGGACAAGCTGCGGGCGGAAGAGACAGCCCGGATGTGGGCAAAGAGAGCCGCAAAGGAGAGGGCCATGAAGGAGGCCAGGGGCCGCTTGCTCACAGAAGTCATGGACACGAGGAGACTTCAGCTGGAGGAGAAACGTAAGGGGATGTTAGGGACACGTTATCTGTGGGCCTGATTTACCTTCTATCTTGGAACAGGTCTGGAACAGGAGACCTGCGCCTGTAGAGCAGGAACACTAAGCAGGGCTCTGTGCAGGCTGAGCTTTAGGAAGCGAGGTCAGAATTGTGCACCTGGATTCTGCAGACTGCATAAATAATGCAAATTAATGCATCTGCACATCATGAATTCTGCTTCTATGAATCAGGAATAAGGAGCTGTGCAAAGAACTGAAACCCCACCCTTGGCAAAAGCAAAAGCCTCGCCCGCTTTTCCTGTGCCCTGGCCAAAGATGACGCCAGATGTTCATTGTTTGTGTGCTTTGAAGCCTATATTTTACACTCTGAAGGGCCTGGACACTTGGCTTTTACAACAAAAACAAAAGCCGAGGTTCTCAAGGCGTTGAATTGCATGCCTACCGTGTTCTGCACTTGTACAGTGCCATCGTAAATGCGCAAAGTCGAGCCCATAAATAGGATTGCCTGCCTCCACCCCATATTTTGTTAATGATTTCCCCCTCCCAGCCCTGAATCAGCCCAGCTCATACCCATATCCTCATAAAGGTAATATGCATGCCCAGAATGCCAGCACCTTGATTTGTGCTCAATAGCTCACAGCCAGCCAGTCCAGTGCTTTAAGGATCAGTGTTGCATGATCCCACTTTGCTATTCTGCAATAGCTGTAGCTTTTTGACTGTTTTCAAGGGCAGCCCCACATATGTTGCATTGCAGTAGCCCTGCTGGGAGATTACCAGAGTAGTAAACACATGTAATAAAATCCATGATATTAATACAGCAGCAGGAACAGGGATGGAACTAATCAGGAAAGTCTTTTGCCATTTCTTTATTTTTATTTCATTTATTTGTTGAATTTGTATTCTGCCCTTCATCCATAGATATCAGGGCAGTTCACAACATAAAAATACAATATAAAAGCACAAAATACAGAATAAAAACAAGACCTGCCTCCTACAAACCAGTAACCCCCTCCCCCCACCCACTCATCCATTTAAGAAAGTTTAAACTGGCCGCCTATACTCTTCCAGACCCAATTTAAGGTGCTGGTTTGAACTAATAATAATAATAAATTTTTATTTGTACCCTGCCCTCCCCAGCCATGGCGGCTGACATCATAAAACTAACACAGTATACAAAGAATATAAGAACATAAAAACAGGCAGTCAGTTAATTAAAATACATCTTAAAATTAGTTCAGAGCAAATTAAAATCTGGACAGATGGCAGTCCATGGGTAAAACTGAGAGTGGTTAATATTCTCCAGGGCCAAATGTTACCACTGGCCTTATAAAGGACCTGTGAGCAGGCTAGGAGGCCTCTTTAATGCTTGTTCTTATACAAAAAGAAAAGAATCAGACTGAACCCCGGAACAGCTCCTTCGTGCAGGCCCTGCGGAAAGATGTCAAATCCCGCAAGGCTTATACATTGCAGGACCACAATACCTGATTAATTCCCACTCCAGACAAGAATATAACTGCCCATTACAAGTGTCTCCACGTGCCTCCTCTGAGAGAGACTTGAAGGGTGTGAATAAGGAACAGGGCCTTTTCAGTTGTGGCCCTCTGTCTGTGGAATGGTCTCCTAAGTAAGGCCTGCCTGGCATGAACAGATAACTAGCAGCTAAGGCAATGTTAGTGATGCCCTGGGTTACTGATAAGCACACCCTCCCACCCAACCCTGTGAAAGCTGATGTTTTATGTATTGATTTGATTGTTTTGATGTTGATGGTTGTTTTTAACTATTTTCCCGGCTTTGTTGTACAGATACTGCCGTGTGTTAGGCGACCAAAAGACTAAACACATTGTAATAATTAATTCATTGACAAAAAAGCAGCAGCATTGGCCAATTACATGTTCCATCTTTTGCCTTCCAGTTCAGAGAAATGCCCAAGAACAAGAGGCACTGATTCGGGACAGGGAATTGTTAAATGCAGCCATTCTAGAATTCAACCGTCTAGAAGAGGAGAAATATGCAAGGTAATTGCTCTTGATCCTATCAGCAGGGCTGATTATACCTTTGTGGTAAAAACCCAGCAAACTATGCCAGTGGCACCCAAATTATTTGCAGGGAAAGCCTCAGTTCTATAACCTATACAGTCAAGGCAAATTGAACACATTTTCATATATCTTTTGCAGAGACATTAAAGCCTTGAAAGCTTCTAAGTAGCAGTGGTTAAAAGGAGAGAGAGTGCTGCAATTTGGTGCTAAAAGTCCTGAGTTCAAGTGTTCTTAGAGAGTCTCACTATCTTTCCTCTGTTTTCCATCCCTAAAACCGGGAATTAAGCCCTTTTTCTTGCAGGGACATCAATAAGAAAACAACATGTGGTGAAAGCTCCTTCCACATTCCAAAGTGGGACAGATTTTAATAACAAAGTCAGAGAATAAAGGATGATTTTCAGCTCGTGCTTAGAATCCTAACAAATTTTCGAATAGGGATAACAAATAGCCATACACAGTGCAAACCTATGCATTTCAAAAATTAACATTTTTATTGAGCATTTTCCCCCAAACACCACACCACAATACTGTGTGTTGTATACAGCCAAGTCATAATTGGAGTAGACCTATTTAAATACGTCAATTTAGGTTAGTCATGCTCACTGATTTTTTCAGTAGGTCTACTCTGAGTATGACTTAGCTTGATTCAATCCTCTATATTCGAGTAGGGACGCGGGTGGCACTGTGATCTAAATGACTGAGCCTCTTGGGCTTGCTGATCAGAAGGTCGGTGGTTCAAATCCCCGCGGTGGAGTGAGTTCCCATTGCTCTGTCCCAGCTCTTGCCAACCTAGCAGTTCGAAAGCACGTCTTTGCAAGTAGATAAATAGGTACCACTGCAGCAGGAAGGTAAATGGCATTTCCATGCGCTCTGGTTTCCGTCACGGTGTCCCATTGCACCAGAAGCAGTTTAGTCATGCTGGCCACATGACCTGGAAAGCTGCCTGCGGACAAACACTGGCTCCCTCGGCCTGAAAGCGAGATGAGCGCTGCAACCCCATAGTCGCCTTTGACTGGACTTAACGATCCTCCTCCAGCCTCAGCAGTTTTTTGTCTTTTTGTTTTTGTACTATCTGTCACTCGATGTTTTAAATCCCCTGTCGCTTTTGTTATCCCTTTTTTTTTCTTTTTCTTTTTTCTTTTCTTTAAGTATTCGCCCAGGACGATATCTACCTTTACCTCCCCACCCCCATTTTATGTTGTTATTTCTATGTATATCATGCTATGGCCACACGGCTAATGCAATAAAATCTATTGAGATTGACTGGACTTAACTGTCCAGGGGTTCTTTATATATTAGAGTACAATAACAATAGGTGGAGGGGGGGGAGAAGGGAGTGCATAGGCAATGAAAAGGATAGAAAAGCAAGGTGTGTCACGTGGAGGACAATAATGCATCCATCAAAGTATGCATTATTTATTCAGAGGTGCACATTTATTCAAAGATGCACTTTTATTCAAAGGTTTGCTGGTAAAGAGAATGTGGAGTGAGCCTCCTTCCTGTCTTGTACAGAACAGGGTGTGGGAGAATGGCCTGCAAAAAGGCTGTGTGCCTTCAGACCATGCCCTGGAAGGGAGTGTGTTAAAAGTGTTAAGTAGTTTCTGCTTCTGATTACGCTCATCCCTCTTTATTACGTTATCTGCAGGCGCACACAGCAAGCAAAGGCGTATCAGGAGGAACTCAATGCTCAGATGGATTACAACAAGCAAGCCCGTGATCTTGAGAAGGAAGAAGAACGCCGCCAATACGCTTTGTCCCTGGAAGCGGAAAAGCTTTACCAGCAGAAGATAGCGGACATCATCTCAAGACCTTACATGAAGTTGTCAGATCTCCATCCTTTGCGGAGGTACCTTGCCAGCAGTTCTTAATCTTAGACTCCAACCAATTTCCTTTATATAGATCTATATTTATAAATCACTGCATTTAAAACTCTCAAGTGCAGCTAAAGCATCTTCTACATGTGTACACTGACTGAGGGGAAGAAGACTCTAGAATACCATGTTTCCTAGCTTCTTTTCTTGGTCAAGCAAAACCTCCTTTTAAAAATAAAATGCTGTCGAAAGTTTTACGTTTTAAATAAAGAACGTTGCATGGTGAAATTGACTGACTTCAAAACATTTTCTTTAAAAACACTTTTAGTTGTACAATTCAAAATGAATGCCTATACGCTGTGCTTTTCCAAGTTATTTGTAATAAAAAAGCATTTTCATTCCCTCTTTTTTAAAAAAAGAAAAGAAAAGGTTGTCCATAACTCAGCATTTATTCAGTTGACATTCCCCGTTCCCACCACTGTATGCTATAAGAACTGATGTACTCCCTCTGTCTCACTGTGATCAGGCAACCTGGAGTCCTGTGTACATATTGCCAGCACGTTCATTTGCAGAGCTGAGACCTGCTGTACTTACAGCTAGATCTACGGAAACTAAGCAAACGAGGCTTTAAGAGATGTTCTGGACAAAACTTGGCATATTTAGTTTCTGTGTGTCCAGCTGCCATTAAAGTTTGCAGAAGCAGGAGCAATCAAAACAAAAGTGGCAATGTTAATCCAGACACAGCTGCCTGGCCAGTTACCCCAAATCTCCAGCAACCTCTGAGAAAGAAACCATAGGCAAGTAAACAGGGCTATGCAGATGTGTTCTCCCCACAGATTGGAGAACATAGGAAGCTGGTAGACTTGATTTCTACCAGCTGCACTCTCGTTTTGTTGACAATATTACTTCTGCCCCTTCCACTTTAAACAATAAACATAAACTTTATCCACAATAAACATGGCTGCCTTTCAGCCCCATCACTCGTTTTGTCTTTGGATCACAACTATAGGACAAGTGTTGAATCGCACACCACGAGGGGTTCAGTGTATTCAATCAGAAATCTGTTTTACAAGTCAGCTTGTTGTCACAGTATTACTGAGAGAGCTCTTGAACACATTGATCCTGGCTTTCCAAGTATTTCTGAAAAGCTTCCGACATTTGTACCTAGCAGCAGAGTGACTCATTTTGTGCTGCATTTTCACCCCCAACACTGGAAGATTCCCACCTCCTGAATCCTCTTGATTCTCCCTCGTTCATCTTACCTGTTCCTGCACAAAACTGAGCGAGTTCCATCCATGATTAGCTTGTTTTGAGTCGGGTTACTTATGCTTCAAAACCGTAGGCAGCAATGATTAATCAATTTCCCAACAGTGCAGTGTATTGGCAAGCATTTCCTATTTTAACGACTCTGTGAATGTGCAAGATCCCTTTACAGCTTCACAATACACAGGAGTCCTGCAAACAGGACTGAGATGATTTACAGTTTAATAAGCAAAAAAAATCTAGCCTTTATAGTTAGAAGAAAATGCATTTTTCCATTTCGTTCCTTATCAAGGTAACATAACAGGTAGCATGTTCTTGTCTCAGGCAGAGGTCTGTCCCATTACCTGCTATGTAGGACCCCTTTGAATTGAGATTTTGGGAACTCACCTATGGTCCTTCTCCATTTAAGACCTAGACTCTATTACAGAGCTATAGCTCTTCCTCAATTTATTTTATACACACAGCACACTTTTAGCTAAATGCTGCCTCTTTAGTTATGTGCTTTTAGCTACTCCTATTTAAATAATCTGCTGTTTGTTTTGTCAAATGGGTTAAGAATAAAAAAGGTGCTGCCTTGACTACAGTTTCTATATAAAGGGGAGGATATTAGTCATGATAAAACATGCATAAATAAATATTACAGGCTGTTGTCTTCCCTTGGCAGCAGAACAGGCTGCCTGGGAATTCCTGGAACATGCCAGACAGTGGCTCTAGTTAGCAGTCAAGCTGGAGACTCTAGGTGTGGACAAGTAAAGGTCAGCATTTATGCACATAGGTACTGTTTTATTTATACCCCCCACCCTGCCGCCACTGGCTTATGGATCTTAGGGTTGGCAGGCCCAGGAAGAAATCAGATAAATATGATAGTTCTCCTGGGTGGAGTTTGGAAAGATCTATCTAGGAGCTCAGAAACTGAGCCCGTGCAAAATCTTGCAGCGGGTCAGGGGTAAAGCCAGAAGGAAACTAGTTATGATGCAGTCGCTGTCCTTGTAAATTTTGTGTGTGCCATGCAGAAGATTATTTGAGCCAGGCCTCCCCACCCCAATTCAGAACACCTGGCTGCACAGCAGCCAGAAGTTCAACAGATGCAGCTTTCTGCTTTGCTGCATCTTCAGTTGTGGAATATCAGCCTGTCGCAAGATTTGTCCTGAAACACACACTGATTGCTCTCATGCTCTCTCTCTGTCTGCTTCCCCCTCTCTCGCACACAAACACAGAGCGAATTTGGATGAATTATCCCTTAATTAGTCAGTTCCTGCTCACTGCAAACTGCGGGGTTAATTGCTTATATCGCTGAATGACCTGGGAGCTATGATTTGGCTAGCCCTGCAATGCATATTTATATGTATTTCTAACATGTAAATGCACAATGTTGCACATAGCGAATCTGATCCCTACCTGCAAGTCCCAAAGTCCTCAGAAGCTGCAGTAACTCAGAGCGGGGCTTTGAATATGGTGGCCCCTGTTCTGTAACATAGTATTGCTGCTGAGATACAGCATGTGCCCTTTCTTTCTGCACTTTCCAGAAACAACTGAAAATCTCTTTGTTCTTCCCGAGCTGGACAAATAGGTTTTTGTCATGAATAGGCTTTTGTTTTAAATGTATCTGCTGTGTATTTCTGTGGACTCAGCCATACAGCTGCAAATAAAATGATTTAAGTGTGTCGTTTAGTGCAATATGCAAATGTGACACTAGATGGCGATGGTGAGCTATGGCAAATTTAATATATGTTTCAAAACTTTTTTTAAAGCATTCCCAAAGCGTTCGTTATATGAGTGTAGATTCCACCTGTGTGTCTTTAACTTTTTTTGCTGTTTGTATTGCACATCGCCTTGAGACGATTGTACAGAAGACAACTAATAAATAACAGTAAAAACAGTGGATATTTTCTTTAAAAAAAGAAGTGTTCATGTCATGCATAACTGCTTTACACTTTGCCCAGTACATAGTCTAACCTGAGATTTCTAGGGAGTTAACCTTTTGCACACAAAACATTGTTCTTATTTATTCTGAAGCTATGGTTCATTCTGTATACTTCAGTTAAGAGTCATTGACTTCAGGTTTCTCTAAAAGAACAGTTATTTATTTAACTATCGTTCTTGAATTCTGCACTTTCCTTTAGGGAGCTCAGAGCTGCATGCACAAAGTTTCCCCATGTCATCATCACAACAACCTGTGAAGTAGATTAGGTTGAAAGGTGACTGAGGCCAAGCCCAGCCAATGAGCTTCATAGGATCAGTGAACACTTGAATACAGACCTTCCTGGTACAATGCACTAACCCAGGCATAGGCAAACTCGGCCCTCCAGTAGTTTTGAGACTACAGTTCCCATCATCCCTGACCACTGGTCCTGGGAGTGATGGGAGCTGTAGTCCCAAAACATCTGGAGGGCCGATTTTGCCTGTGCCTGCACTAACCCCTACATCACACTGTCTGCCATTGAAGCATGGGATCAGACCTTGGGATAAGGATAAAGTATTTGTCCCAGAAGCAAATGCCAGGGGTCACAATTCATCAGAATATTTCTCTGGATAATACAGAAGACAAACTCCTGCATGTCAAGCCTTCCAAGAAATTTATAATATTTTAAAACCTCTTAACTGAAAGTTTTAGAAATTCTCTTTAAAACAGTGTATTTGCTGTAATCTATATTTAATGCAAATAACTGCACTGTGCTTTGGGGAAAACCTTTTCTGCTGTCCGGCCTTCAGCATTAAATATAGGCTTAATTTTCTCACCCCAATTCCAAGTGTAGTTAACTTTTTTTTTTTAGTGGAAGGCAGAGCAGTGTAGTGGGTGGGAATATATTGATTTAATCAAGGAAAATGGGTAGTACAAATTTACATTCAATAAACATTTCCCATGTATGCAAAACCAGTTACCTATTTTAAACCCCGGCCGGTTTTTAAAATAGGTGTCAGCTATGCAGGGCGAGAGAAAAATGGAATTGTTTGCAGTTTAATTCTTAAGCAGCATTTGCACTATGTTTTCCAGAAGAAGTGGACAGGCAGCATTATTTGCCATGCTGGGTCACCTGGTCAAAATGGCAGTCATTCTGGGACAGAGTGAAAAAAATGAATTACTTATTATATGTACACTTTTTAAAATGCTTTCTATTGTAATGTCACCAACTGGTCATTAGCATGGTGTACATCAGGCATAGGCAAATTCGTCCCTCCAGATGTTTTGGGACTACAACTCCCATCATCCCTAGATAACAGGACCAGTAGTCAGGGATGATGGGAGCTGTAGTCCCAAAACATCTGGAGGGCTGAGTTTGCCTATGCCTGATGTACATCAAAGGGCAGTCTAAGAATGTCTAACTAAATAAATTATAAAATTAACTGACAGATGCTGTGGGGATGTTTATTCACTTCTATGGCCCTCTTACTGGTGCAGCAATAAAACTGCTAGCATATTTGCTAAAGCTAAGCAGGGTCCAGGATGGTTTCAGCTTGGATGGGAAACCGTGTGTTGAGATTCCTGCTTTGCAGGGGGCTGTACTTTATGACCCTTGGGGCTCTTTCCAACTTGATGATTCTATGATTCACTTTTGTGCCATGATCTGCATTCCCCTATCTTTACATCTGCAGCCGTAGACCATGGACTGAACCTTTGTGCCTCCTACTTTGCAAATCCTGGAGATAGGAAACCAGCCCAGTTCTGTTCTTAGAGATTTATTCATTTGCATCAACTGCTGAAGCCACACTGGTGTACATGTTACACCAGCCTTTTCTGAGAAAGTCTTTTCTAAGGAAGCTGCAAATTATACTCCTCGTTGGGGCACGAAAGCAACCTGTCTAATAATAATAATAATAATAATAATTATTATTATTATTATTATTATTATTATTTATTTCTATCCCGCCCTCCCCAGCTGAAGCCGGGCTCAGGGCGGCAAACAACAATCAAATATCAAACAATCAAATAATCCAACATTCTAAAAACATTTCGTTATAAAAATTAATATCTTTGGCATGTTCCTGCATTGCAGGGGGTTCAACTAGATAACACTCAAGGTCGCTTCCAACTCTACAATTCTACGATGGTGTTATGTACTAGGTTGAATAGGATCCAAATGCAGCAGTCTGATTGGTCCTAGAACAATAGGATTCAGAATGCAGCAGTCTGATTGGTCCTAGAACAATGCAGCAGTATGATTGGTCCGCAGGAGCCACCCAATCCAGCTCCAGGTGGAAGTGAATCCGCAACCTAATTGGCCTACAGGAGAATCCAGGAATTAGCCAATCACGTGTGGCCCATTGTGTAAATAATGTATATAAAGCAGATATTTGGGGGGAACTTTCATTCCTGACTACTATGAGCTGAATAAAGAGCATGAAATCCACACTCAACTCCGAGTATATTTCAGATACTATAATTCTACATCTAGATCACATTCCTGCCTGGTTTTGTGCGGCAACTAAGAAAGCCTGTCTGACTGAATTAGTCTTCACATTAGCTAATAACAGGGACTTATCACTGAGTCCACCACAATTCTTACTATATTCTAATACCCTCATACGCCTTTGGGTCTGGCTGTCTCCCAGTTTTAACATACCAGTTCTAATTAAATTCTAACATTAATTAATTAATTTTGTATACCGTCCTTCATCCGAGGATTACAGGGCGGTTCACAACATAAAAATACAAAATGAGAACACAAAATACACAATAAAACTGAAAACAAACCAATAACACACATACACCCTGCTACAAACACATACTGTTTATTAAATCTGAGTAGTATGAATGGTGCCACTTCAGAGTGAAGTTGGGAGAAGGAATACAAATTTTTAAGGCTCCCATTTTGAAAAGATACTTTAAAAGGCCACATAAGTAAGTTAAACAAACCTTCTGACAAGCAGAAAACTAGCACAGCAGGGCGCAGACTGTGCTAGAATTCCCACTTCCTCCATGCTCATTCAGTGTGCTTTTTTATTATATCTGTTTTTTATATGGGGAGCATTTTAAAAAAGCATCTCTCCCCTGTAGCATGTCTGAAATGTTCACTTTACCATCACTTCAGGATTTTGCCAAATGTGCAGACCTGGTTTTCAGGACACCCTTCGCTTAACTGCAGTATTAACCATCATGAAATTTGCCCCCAACTTCCTACAAACCCTCAAACAGATTTACTCCCAAGCCTCAGCAAAATGCAGGTTTAATAGCGTGGACTCTAATACCGTAGCAGCCAGGTTTGTTGGAAAAAAGAGTCCCCTCCTTTAGCACCCACAGATCTAGAAAAACAAAAATAGAATTGTTGCTGTTGGTTTTTAAATGCTGGCTTTTGCATTTTCTAGTTTGTTTCTCTCCCCTTGCTCCCAAAGCTGGGCTGAACAATGTTTTAAAGGGTCAGTCAATTCTTGCTCAGAGTTGCCGGCTTTTTGACATTTTCTAGTTTGCAATTTGTAAACTGTGGTTAATATTCTAGCATTGGGGGGGGGGGAATGGGCCTGTAAAGTGGCTTAAAATTTATTTAAATAAAAATACCGAATTATGAAAAACTTCAGTAAAAAATCTCAATACGAAAACATACCCTCCAACATTTCTCCGATGAAAAGAGGAGCATCCCATTCCATAAAGATAATTTTACTATTTATACCCCACACATGTAACTGGGTTGCCCCAGCCACTCTGGGCAGCTTCCAACATATATAAAAACATAGTAAAACATTCAAAAAACAAACAAACAAATCTTCCCTATACAGGATTGCCTTCAGGCTGCTCGGGGGTCGGATAACTCCATAACCCTCCAAAATTTATCCAGAGAAAATAGCTGTTTTGGGACTACAACACCAATCATCTACCTAGCTAAGAGGACCAGTGGTCAGGGATGATGGGAATTGTAGTCCCAAAACAGCTGGAGGGCCAAGTTTGGCCATGCCAAGGAGAAGTGGGACATTCTGGGATCAAATCCAGAAACCAGGACTGCTTCTCTAAACAGGGACTTGTCCCTGGAAAATAGGGGCACTGGGAGGCTCTGATATAATTAATCATTACAGTGAGTGACAATACATCACATCACAGCGTTATTTTATCAGATGCAGCCCAATTCAATCCAGCCTAAACACACTTGCAAAAAAAAAAACAAATTCAGAGCAGGTGAAGTTGCCAGTCCCATCAGCAGCAAAGGTGCCTGCACTGGGAATGCTGGGAGGAGCGGGAGATTAAAAACTAAAACATTAATAAAAGTCGCCCCCCCCTGCCACGCCCACAGGTTTTTGTCTATTGGGGGTGTATGTTTGTGATCATGTCCGTTCTGCCGAGACACTGAGGTCCAGCGTTAAGGGCTTTCTGGCGGTTCCCTCACTGTGAGAAGCCAAGTTACAGGGAACCAGGCAGAGGGCCTTCTCGGTGGTGGCACCCACCCTGTGGAACGCCCTCCCACCAAATGTCAAAGAGAAGAACAACTACCAGACTTTTAGAAGACATCTAAAGGCAGCCCTGTTTAGGGAAGCTTTTAATGTTTAATAGGTTATTGTATTTTAGTGTTTTGTTGGAAGCCGCCCAGAGTGGTACCTCAGGTTAAGTACTTAATTCGTTCCGGAGGTCTGTTCTTAACCTGAAACTGTTCTTAACCTGAAGCACCACTTTAGCTAATGGGGCCTCCTGCTGCTGCCGCCGTGCCGCCGGAGCACGATTTCTGTTCTCATCCTGAAGCAAAGTTCTTAACCCGAGGTACTATTTCTGGGTTAGCGGAGTCTGTAACCTGAAGCATATGTAACCTGAAGCGTATGTAACCCGAGGTACCACTGTACCGCTCTTAACCACTACACCACACTGGCATAGCTGTCAACGTTTCCCTTTTTTTAAGGGAAATTCCCTTATTCCGAATAGGATTCCTCGCATGAAAAGGGAAAAGTTGACAACTATGCCTAGAAGGCAGGAGTTTGACCACTGTATTATTTTTATTATTATTATTATTATTATTATTATTATTATTATTATTATTATTATTATTTTATTATTATTATTATTCCGGGTTGGGAGGTTTGCCCGGCGGCCGGCAGAGGGCGATCCCGTCGTGCGCGCTGGCGGCCGGGTCTTGTGCGCAAAGGCTTCCCCAAGCGCGCAGCTCCGCCAGGTAGGGGAGGGAAAGCGGAACCGACCGGCCGCCGAACTGCTCCTCCCATACCTGAGGAGGGAGCGGCCGCCCAGCCCCGCCTGGCCGGGCAGCAGGGCTGTTTCTTTCCCCCTCGCTCCGCGCACCTTCCGCCTCCCTTCCTCCCTCGCTCCCTCTCCGGGCATTTCGTCTCCAACTTCAGCCGCGGCGCGCCGAGGCAGGCCGGGCAAAGGTCGCGCCTCCCTCCCCGTTCCCGCTCCGGCCGCTGCTCGCCATGTGGCCCGAGCCCTCCCCGTAAGCCCCCGCTGGACTTTCGCCGCCGCTCCGGACTTTGGGATTTTTGCAGGCGGCTGCGCGTGTGGATGCGTCGCGGACGCGCCGCCGGCTTCGCTTTGCGCCATCAGGCTTCCCGGGCGAGGAGATGTCGGTGACGGAGCTGTATAGCAGGGTAAGGCGGCAGTGGAGGGGTCCGGTGGGGGGGTCGGGGGTGGGGGGCTAAGCCAGCCACCCTCACGGGGGGCTCCCAGGCCAAGGCTACCTTCCTGCCCCCCCCTCCCCGAGTTGTTTTGGCTACTTTTTCTCTCTCCTCGGAGTCTCGTTATCCTTCTCTGCACCTGACTTCTTTGCGCTCTGCGGTTCGCTCCCCGCAGCAAATCCTTATTTTTTCCTTTCTTTTCTCATTACTCTGTATTTTGACCCTGCAGTGAACGTCTCGAACGCTCTTCGGCTTGTTTGCATTTGCAACGTTGGAAAGGCAGTTGTTCCCGTTTCTCTCTCTTAAATAATAATAATAATAATAATAATAATAATAATAATAATAGTATTTTTTACTGCGTTTACAGCCCTCCCTTTTCTCCCAGGAGCTCAAGGTGTCCCAAGTGGGTCTCCCAGCCCCTCCTCCTCTTTTAACCCCCACAACAACCCTGTGAGGTAGGGTAGGCTGGGAGAAGGCGGTGACTGGACCACAGCCACTCTCATGAACTTTGTGGCTAAGTGGGGATTTGAACCCCGACCTCCCAGGTCCTAGTCGGACGCCACTGCACCAACACTGACTCCATATAGGAGGCTGAGGCGGTGTGTGTGATGCCAAGGCCAAACGAGTCACTTGATGGAGGGGCCGGTGTAGAGTAATAACTGGCCTTGGACCTGGGTTCAAAGGACACAGCTGGTTGCCCTCTCTTTGGCCCCTTCATGGGTTTGTTGTGAGGATAAAGCTGGAGAGCCCGTGAAATGTAATGGGGAGAGATGGAGCTCAGAGTCGGATCTTGCAGACGTTACGTTAATCCAACTCAACCTCACAGGGTTGTTGTTTTGTATTGGAGAACTCCAAACATCAGATGTAATAGGGAAAGACAGTACTCGAACCCGGATCTTGCAGATCCAAACCCAGACCTCTGTGTGTGCAGCCACCTGCTTGTGCCTCTTTCCCCTCAAGTAAGACTCTTTCCCTGTTTTCCAATTTTCCCTGTTTTAGGATTAAGTGGCTGCTTGCTGTTGCTGTGTTGTTTTTTTAAAGGCGGGTGAAACTTTTTGTTGCTAGGAGGCAGCTGCAGTTGTTGAGTGACTTAGCTGGGAGCTCTCCTCCTCTTCCACCTCCACCTGTTCTCCTGCTGCTACCTGAGCCAGTTTTACTTCCTCCTTTTCCTGAAAGCCCTGGGTGGCTGCAGCCCATGAGAAAGGAAACAAACAAAACCCACTCACAAAAAAAATATTCTGCCCTGATATTGAGAACCTTTTCCACTTCTCATTCTGAATATCTGTAGAGATGCTCTCCTTTCTCTTTCCTGTGCTGGGGCTGCTAACAGTGCCATAAAACTCAACCCTAACCATATCTACTCAGAAGTAAGTCCCATTGAAGTAAATGGGTCTTGCTCTCAAGTAAGTGGGGTTAGGATGGCAGCCTTGATATAAATATCAAGCCCTTTGAAGCATAAGGAATCTTCCTTATTCAGCATTACACATTTTAATTCTGGTTCTTCTCTTGCGGTCAGAAAACTGACATCCCCCCATACTTTCTGTGTGGGTGCATATATACCATACATTTAAAGGTAAAGGGATCCCTGACCATTAGGTCCAGTCGTGCCTGACTCTGGGGTTGCGGCGCTCATCTCGCTTTATTGGCCGAGGGAGCCAGCATACAGCTTCCGGGTCATGTGGCCAGCATGACTAAGCCGCTTCTGGCGAACCAGAGCAGCGCACGGAAACACCGTTTACCTTCCCGCCAGAGCGGTACCTATTTATCTACTTGCACTTTGATGTGCTTTCAAACTGCTAGCTTGACAGGAGCAGGGACCGAGCAATGGGAGCTCACCCCGTCGCAGGGATTCGAACCGCCGACCTTCTGATCGGCAAGTCCTAGGCTCTGTGATTTAACCCACAGCACCACTCGCGTCCCTTACATATATTTAACCCCCCCAAATCCTGAGAACTGTAGTTTCCTTCTTCACAGAGCTGCACTTCCTAACACTCTTACCAAACTATAATTCCCAGGGTTCTTTGGGCGTGAGGTGGGGAATGTGCTTTAAATGCTTCATCTTTTCTTTTTGGCAGAAGGGAGCTGCCACAGTGGGAGGGGTGTGATTTGCACCTGAATAAAATGTCCTTAAGGGGAAGACCTGGCAATGGGGTTTTGGTTCTGGGTCTGACACAGCCCTGTTTGGAGGTAGAAAGGATTCCCCCCCAAACCCCAATATTATTAGTGAGCATTCTTTGCTTGTACCTATTTTACCTCCATTCCTTAGGGCAGATTTTCCTATCCATTTTGGACTACAACTCCCATCAGCCCCAGCCAACTCATGGGAGTTGTAGTGTAAAACAGCTGCAGGGTGCCAGGTTGGCAAATGCTGGCTTTAGGGCTGCTCAGTTTGTCATAAGATCTTCATTGGCTCCCAGTACGTTTCCGAGCACAATTCAAAGTGTTGGTGCTGACCTTTAAAGCCCTAAACTGCCTCGGTCTTGTATACCTGAAGGAGCATCTCCACCCCCATCATTCTGCCCGGACACTGAGGTCCAGCTCCGAGGGCCTTCTGGAGGTTCCCTCGCTGTGAGAAGTGAGGTTACAGGGAACCAGGCAGACAGCCTTCTCGGTAGTGGCGCCTGCCCTGTGGAACGCCCTCCCTTCAGATGTCAAGGAAATAAACAACTATTTTACTTTTAAAAGACAAGGGAATTTTTTTATTTCTGATGCTGTATTGTTTTTAATATTCAGTTGGAAGCCGCCCAGAGTGGCTGGGGAAACCCAGCCAGATGGGCGGGGTATAAATAATAAATTATTATTATTAAACAATCTGCAGAACAAGGATTTGCCCTTAAGATCACTGATACAGCAGGTCTTTCCACGTACCCTTCCCTATTGCAACAGGACCAAATGTAGTTTTCTTAAGAATTCTCTTAATGCTTCTACCTGGCAAACCCTATATGCCTCAGCTTTTTCCCCTGGGTGTTTTATTTCCTCCTGAGGCACCTCACCTGAGAGGTTATACATTTTAACATGTGGGCAGAAGGACCGACAGGGAAGTGATGCCATGACTCAGATTTGTATCACCTCCCTATTGTGGGTGCTGTTTGAGGAAGAAAATTACCTTCGTAGCCCCAGCCATGGAATTCTGACATAAAGTGCAGATTTGGTCCTTAGGTTTGTTGTGGATGCTTATGGGCTACATCAGGGGTCACCAAATGTGGTGCATTTTGGTGCAGTAGCGTTTTTGAGGTCTTCCACTGGTGCCTAAAAACTTCCAGGTGTGCCCCCCTTGCTTTGTCAGGAGTTGGAGATGATAACTTTTTTTTCCTCCCTTGACAAGTACTCGGAGCTTTTTTTTTTTGGAGGAGGAGGAAGTTGGAAGAGTGATGCTCTTTCCCACTTCCTCTTTCAGGTCTGCAGGTTTTTCAAAAGGTTAGTTCTACCCAGATCACTTGGAAAAAATGGCGCGTCTTGTATCTGAAGGAGGGTCTCCACCCCCATCATTCTACTCGGACACTGAGGTCCAGCGCTGAGGGCCTTCTGGTGGTTCCCTCACTGCGAGAAGGGAGGTTACAGGGAACCAGGCAGAGGGCTTTCTCGGTAGTGGCGCCAGCCCTGTGGAACGCCCTCCCTTCAGATGTCAAAGAGAACAACAACTACCAGACTTTTAGACAACATCTGAAGGCAGCCCTGTTTAGGGAAGCTTTTAATGTTTGAAGCATTACTGTATTTTAATATTGTGTTGGAAGCAGCCCAGAGTGGCTGGGGAAACCCAGCCAGATGGGCAGGGTATAAATAATAAATTATTATATTATTATGATGATGTACACTTTGTCTGAGGTGTGTGGGGAGGAGAGGCAGCAGAGAAGTGACCCAGAAGCATTGGCCTGCCTCTGTGGCCCTCGCTCAACAATCCATATGCGCTCACAGGCTTAAGAAGGTTGACAGCCCCTGGACTAGATGCCTGAAATAACATTCTCCGTTGACAGATGCATATATTATCTCGCATGTCCACGCGCATATGCATATTTAGAATTTTAAAACCCAGACCAGGGTTCTGTTCCACTACAGTTGCTAAATTAGCAGAGATGGAAATAGGACATTTCATAGTTCAATATGGCAGTCAGTATTTTTATCTTGTGTTTATCTGAGTTTTGCATAAAAAATGTCGCAGGCTGTATCTCCTATACCATCATCTTTCAGCATCGCTGTTTTACGGAGTTTTTTTCTGTCTCTATGTGTGTACCTATGTATCTGTCAAGTGCCAATGGGGGGTAACCTTTTGTATGTCTCAAAGTTGACTCCAGTCCATGAAAACTTATGCTGCAGTCCATCTGCTAGCCTGTAAAGGGGCAAAAAAACCCCAGACAGTGCAATCCTGAGTAAGTTACCCAGAGGTATGTCCCATTGTGTTCAGTAAGGGTTATGCCTTAGTATAGCCTTCACCAAGCTGGTGCTCTCCAGATGTTCTCCAGATGTTTTGGATTACATTTGGAGGGCACTGGTTTGACGAAGGCTGCCCTAATGAATGTGTTTAGCATTGCAGCCCTCCTTAGTTTTGCTGTGAAAGTATGGCTACCTTCTGGAATTTGTTGGATGAGGAGTAGGTTTGCTTCCACTGTGTCTTTGCTAAGAAACATGTGATTGATTTCTTAGCGGGGTTAGATCTGCAGCAGGATTTAGAGGGCAAAAGTCGGGGGCTGTACCAGGTAGAATGAGCAGGAGGAGGGCTCATCACCTTACAAAACTAAAATAGCATACGTTACCGTCTTAAGAGCAGGGGGCGGGGAGGTAAGTTCATGAAGTCCAGAGTCTAAAGTTGCCTAACTTGTAAGGAAATGAATACTTTGCAGATTCCCAGACACACTCTAGGGCAGGTACATTCAGTGCTTGCAAATGCCTGGGTTCTCACCAGAAACGACCCCAGATTGCTAACTTTTGTTTTTCTTCTGTTAGAGTTCCTATGTCTTTAGCTGCAGCGCTACAGA